ACATTTCATGAGCAGTATCCAAGTTAGTTTGCAATATGTATATGTATATACCCACAGTTCAGCAGTGCAGTGCCCCTTTTCAGATTCACCCAATGTATAGGACTCAGTAGTCTGCGGCCAAACCCCCGAGGCAGTTTTCAGAATCACCCCGAGATTCTTTCTTCTGAGGGGTTGGCACAATCATCAAAATGTCCCCATTGTATCACTCTCTCCAGGGCTCCTGGGTGGGGCATGACTGGGCAAGTGTATGACTTTGGCCTTCTAGCTTCTGACTGTATTGGTCCTGCCATTATCCGTATTTCCTGTAGTTCTTGTTGAAACTCTAGGCACCTGTATTAGCTCTTCCAAGTGTCTGGTCCACCCTGACCAATCCTTCCACAGAGAGCAGAGACTCCAGACCTGGACCGTGTCAGGGAGGTAGAGTTCTTCAAAGCTCCAGTTTGAATCAGACCTTTGTGGGGCAGAGGATGAGGGAAGGAGAAGGATAAAAATGGAACGTTCTAGGGTACAACCAGAACCTTGGTCCAGAGATATGTGTTTCAGCTCTTATGGAGGACCCAAGTCCATTTCAGCACTCAGGTCAAGCGGCTCACAACTGCCTTTGACTCCCATCTCCAGGGAGTCTGATGCCCTCTTCTGACCTTCACACGCAACTGCACCCACATACCCATACCCGTGCATAGACAAGTGCTCACACAGAAATGCGCACACACACACACACAATTTAAAGTCTTTAAAGTATATAACAAAACCTCACTACCAGGCATGTTGGCCTTTCTTCATTCTAAAATCATCCTAAGAAAGTTAAAGTAACGTTTTAACTGCCAAGAGAAAATCTAAACTGGGGGAGGGGGCAGCTTGAAACAGTGTCATAGAGAAGCCTCTGAGAAGCTAATCGAGCCATTGTTGTGTATATGTGTGCGTGTTTGTGTGTGTGAAGAGGAAATCTACTTTTCTAAACTTCACACGTCACTCATCGTACTCAGTTTATCCTTTCTCAGTGGCAGTGCTGTGGTTCGTTCCCAGCACAGCTCAGGCTGCAGCTAGTTACCCCACACAAATGTGCTTGGGGGCACAATCTAGTGGGGTGGTATGCTTGAGCTATGACTGAACTCATGCCTTTGCCAGGCGAGTGTTTATTCTCATGGGACCCATCCGTTAGCTCCAGAGCTGGTAACGATAAAGTGAGTCCATCCTTTGCTCTCTCCCCTGCCTGTGTGCACTCACTGCCTCCTCCTGCCATGAGTTAAGGAAGCATAAGGACCTTGTGAGATTGTGCCCACCCAACCTCAGACTCCCAGCCTTTAGCATCACGAGCCAAAATAAACCTCTTTTCTTTATGAATAGCCACGGCTCAGATTTCTATTAAAACAACCAAGAGCTAAGACCTGAACTGATGCTGAAGTTCAGTGTAAGGTTTCCAGTGCTTGAGGCGGAAAGATGGAGGTTGGTAAAGTGCTTGTCTGCGAAACCATGAGGACTTCTGTGCCTGGAAGAGAAGGAAGCAGTCAGGCATGGGGACACACACTTGTAATCTCTACTGGACTATAGGCCTTACTGCCTACCTACCGTAGCCTATGTGATGAGTTCTAGGCCAGTGAGACATCTTGTTGAAAAAGAAAAAGAAGGGAAGGGAGGGGAGGGGAGAGAAAGGTAGGAGAGAAGGGAGGGGAGGGGAGGGGAGAGGAGAGAAAGGTAGGAGAGAAGGGAGGGGAGGGGAGGGGAGGGGAGAGAAAGGTAGGAGAGAAAAGAGGGGAGGGGAGGGGAACACCTAAGCAATGATACTCAAAGTTGTCCTGTGGCCCCCCACATGCACACAAACACACATGCACACACACACACACACACACACACACACACACACACCTCTAATGCTAGATAAGAATCCTAGTGAACATAAAAGGGGGCTAAAGTACATGAATTACCAGAAAGTACTGTAAAGGCTAGGTAAGTCATTTGGATACATACCGATAGACAATATGGGTCCATGAGATGGAAGGTGATTTAAAGATTCTAAGAAAATGAACCCTTAGCCAGTGGTCCATAATTCATTAATTACCCATTCATTGTCTTTGAGATGACCTTATAAAATCCAGAGTCCAGGAAGGAATAAAACAACCTGACTCACAGTTCCTTTATGATGTCAAGGTGCTATTTATTGCTAGGAAGCCAGAAGAAGGCAGAGAGAGGGGGATGGGGTGTTGAACTGAAGATAAACCATTTTTGGCTTTATAGTTTTGCCTAGCATAGACCCAGTAGAAAAAGTGAAATACCATCACAGGCACCTTCCAAGGTTCTTGAAGCCTCCCTGACAGCACGTGTGTGTGTGTGTGTGTGTGTGTGTGTGTGTGTGTGTGTGTGTGTGTGTGTTACTAGGATTGAAGTCAGTGGCTCACGTATACTCGGCAAGCATTCTACCATTGAGCTATTTCTCCAGCCCTCGTGGTGCTGATCTGGCTGTTAGGTGTGGGGAATCCTTTGGGCCAGATTCCAGCACATTTCTACCAAGCCAGTCAACTGTATCTTCCCTTTCTATCACTAGTGTATTGCTGACATGGAGGCTCATGGTGAGATGAGCCACCCTCCTTCCTACGTGCTGACAGCCCAGCTTTCCCATCAGATTTTCCCTGGTGACAAAATCTCAGAAGGACACCTTAATGTCTGTTTACCCACCGTCCTCCTTTCGTAGGAGTCGGCATTGTGCCGGGAGGGAGAGCAGGTGGTTTGTTCCATTCAGAGGCTTTCTCATTCCTCATTTAGTGAGGATGGAGGCTGAGTAGCCTCTGTAGCTGCTGGGTCTTTTTTGTTTTGTTTGTTTTTAAAGCAGGAAGGCCAGAAGTAGGTTGGGTTTATGAAGGATTTAGCTGTTGACACTCTCTGCTCGGGAACCAGTGATGTGTAGGAGGTGGCGAGATTCCAGTGGTGTAGGCATTTCCCCAGGATTCTTTGGGGCTCTGTACATCTTTATCTCCTTGGGGAGTGGATGGTCCATCCTGTTTTCATTTCCTGACTTCGAGTAAGTCCTTATTGGAGCTTTAATGATGTGAGACCCTAATTACCAACCATTACTTCCTTCCTTCACTTCTTTGCATTCTTAAGGCGCTAAGAATGCAGTGGAGCAGACACTACCTCACACCTCACATGCACCCTCTCAGTTTTATTCTCTCCTGCTTCTTTGTATTTGTCGGCCCTCGGCTATGTGAAAAAGTGACAAGCTACGACCAGCCTTCCTTCTTACTCCTGCGCCGGTTCCTGGTTGACAGCTGCCAACAGCCTCCTTCGTCCTAGTCAGCTTTGTGAATGTCTTCCTCTCCTGTAAATGTGGTGCCCCGGGAAGGGCGGTCCATGTGCACTATGAAAAGCCCAAACTAGAGTCAATATCAAGAAGAAAAAAAATCCAATGGGCAGTGGTGGCACATGCCTTAATCCCAGCACTTGGCGGGCAGAGGCAGGTGAATCTCTGAGTTCCAGGACAGCCCAGTCTACAGAGTGAGTTTTAGGACAGTCAGGGCTGCACAGAGAAATCCTGTCTCCACCCACCCACCCCCAAAAAGAAAGGAAGTAAAAGAAAGGAAAGGAAAGGGAAGGGGAAGGGAAAAGGGAAAGGAAAGGAAGAATCCTCACCTGGCTTGCAGTGCTTCCTTAGCCAGTGGCGTATTAATGCCCCATCCTTGCCCAGTACTGGGTCTGGTTTACTTTGTCTGCTTCCAGGCAAAAGTTTTGTTGTTTGTGTGTGTGCTGGTCATTTCTTTTATTCTAAAATAGGAATTTTGTCCAGTCTGTTTTTATCTGTTTATTTTATAAATAAATGATGTAGATGAGTGTTTTGTATGTAGTATGTATATATACATATGTACATACGTGTAGCGTATGCATGCCTGGTGGCTGCCTTGAGAAGTGAGAATAGCATTGGACCCCTGGAAGCAGAGCTGCAGATGGCTGTGAGCCAGCAGGCAGGTGCTGGCAGCTGAACCCAGGTCCTCTGCAGAAGCAAGTGCTCTTGACTACTGAGCCGTCTCTCCAGCCGGCCCCCATTTTATCTGATCTTTACTTTGGGAATTGTATTATTCATCAGCCACACACAGATGGAAGTCTTGTGTGATTCTAATGCAAGTGATTATTGAATAAGTTAATTTTTTTATTTAATCTCTTCACCTGTTTAAATTCATAATTTAGTATGCCTGTGGGATATAAAGTCTGACATTTTCAATTATGCATCATAATGATCAGATCAAGGAAACTGGCACCCATCACCTCCATTATTGGCCATTTGAATGTTTTAGGTACATCCAAAATCCTCTCCTACTTATTTTTAAATGTGCAATTAAATGTTGTCAAATTTGGTTGCCCTGTTATGCTATAGAATAGTAGAATTTACTTCCCCTAAAATAATTTTTGATGTATTTATTTTTTATTTTTATGTGCATTGGGGTTTTGCCTGCATGAGGGTGCCAGATTTCTTCCAGAACTGGAGTTATAGACAGTTGTCAGCTGCCATGTGGGGGCTGGGAATTGAACCCAGGTCCTCTGGGTTAAGAGCAGCCAGTGCTCTTAACGGCTGAACCATCTCTTCAGCCCCCAAGAATTAAACTTTATTTTATTAGGAACTGGAGGTAGAGCAGAGAAGTGGACTGCTCGCCTAGCTTATAGAAGGCCCTGGACTCAGTCATCAGTACTGCAAAGCAAACAGAACAAAAATAAACTTTAGGGAAAAAATAATATGTTGGGATTGACTCTGTTGTAGAAAAACTCTGCTCAGGCTCCTGATTCCAGGAGAGAGAAATTGAAAGTCTCCAGTCTGGGGGGTTGCCTGTTTGCTTGAGGTACTGGGAGTTGATTCCACATCAGCAATTGAAAATACTGAAAGATGGAGATTGAGTGTTGAACTCACTAGGAGGTGTTGGGTGTCAGTCCACTGGCCAGGCTTTCGTCACAGGATCCTGGCCGGACGCTGGTCTAGGAAGGGTTGGCATCTAACCGTGCCCGTCTCTGTGTTGCAGTTACCTGGCTGAGCAGTGCTGGAATGGCGGCTTCATCTACCTGATCATGCTGCGGCGCTTCAAGCACAGAACCCACGTGACCTACAATGGCAGCAGCGGCAACAGCTCAGAACCCGGAGAGACTCCCACCTTGGAGCTGGGTGACCAAACCTCAAAAAAGGGAAAGAGAACAAGAAAGTTTGGGGTTATTTCCAGACCCCCTATCGACAAGGCCCCCGAAGAACCCAAGAGCAGCAGTGGCTGCGACGCGACAGACGACCCCAGCTCTGAGCTGGAGAACGGCACAGAGCCGGAACTTGGAAATGGCCATGCCTTTGAGCTAGAAAATGACCCACATTCTCTCAAGGATGGACCCCATCTGGAGAGGTCAGAGGGGGACGGAGGGGCAGAACTCAGAATTCCAAAGACAGAAGCCTCTCTGGGCAACAGCAATGACAAGCGCCGCTTCTCAAAAACCGGGAAGATGGACTTCCAGTCGAGCGACTGCCTGGCACGGGTAAGGTGCTACCAAGTCTAATCTTTCCTTTCTTTTCGTTTTTCATAATGTGTGTGTGCCTGTATGTCTGTGTGCACGCATGTGTGTGTATGTGTGTCTGTCTGCCTGTTGGTATGTGGGTACATGTATGTAGAGGCCAGAGGCCACTCAAAGGTATCATTCCTTGGGTGCCCTCCACCTTATGTTTTGAGATCTCTCACACCAGCCCTCACCAAGCAGGTTAAGCTGACTGGCTGGCAAGCCCCTGGCATCTGCCTAACCAGAATGCTTCCATGTCCAGCCTTTTTTTTTTTTTTAAGATTTATTTATTTACTTTATGTGCATTGGTGTTTTGCCTGCATGTATGTCTGTGTGAGAGTGTCAGATCCCCTGAAACTGGAGTTACAGTTGTGAGCTGCCATGTGGGTGCTGGGAATTGAACCCAGGTCCTCTGGAAGAGCAGCCAGGGCTCTTAACTGCTGAGCCATCTCTCTAGTCCCCCATGTCTGGCTGTTTGTCTAGATTCTGGGCATTGAATTTGGGTCCTCATGCTTGCAAGGCAGCCCTGCACTGTCTCAACAGCTATTTCCTTGGTCTTAGAATATGAATTTTAACATAAATACTGTTGGAGTTGCTTTTCAAGTTTAGGAAAGGTACCTAAGATAGCCTTGTACTTAGAAGCCAACAAACTCATCGAGATAAATGATCAGAGCCTGTAACAATAACAGAAAAGTTCAAGTTGTTTTATCCCGCTTAAGGAGGCAGTGAAGTGATCCTAAGTGGAAAATTGAAGCCTTCTGTGGTAAAATTTGAGCCCTCTGAGGTCCAGATAAAGCATTGAGCCGCCTTCTTATTCATCACAACTGTCACAGAGAAATTGCTGCTTCAAGGCCAGAGATTCCTGGTGGCAGTTGATAATGCAAACATCTAGCCTCAGCGTGACACAGGAAGGGCGGCCGACACCGGGAAGCATCTGCTTTTATTTTTAACAGTTCAAAGCCAGTGCTATTTTTATGAGATCGCATTATTACATTGGTAAATTCTAGTGACACACAGAGGCGCCTCACCGAAATCTCATTTAAGTGGTTTCTCTGTCAGGTCGAGGCTGGCCCCCATGGAAAGGAGAAGAGACTGTGGTGGAATAAACTATTGGAGGTTGCCTCCCCGGCGTCTTTTCTTAGAGTTATGTTTCTGTACAGTGGACAAGTCTGTGACATGAATCCTCTTGGCAGAGGGAGCTGTGGAAGAAATGGCTTCCTGAGTGGGTGCTGACGAGCTTCTCTGACACACAGAACACCTGTAGGGGTGAAAGGCAAAGGTGGAAAAGAGGTGTGAAAGCGTCGTGTTTGGGCACCCTGGAGTGAACTGCAAGGCTGTTGGATGCAGTTACTCCCGTGGCTTTAAACACTCCATAAGCAGGATGGAGAAGGAATGAAACAGCTACTCTCTGGTCGGAAGAAAGCCTTATACAGAGGCAGCATTCTCTGTGGGTGGATGGGGGAACACATGGAAAGAAAGGCCATGTTTCTGTCCGTTCTTTCTGTCAATTTTATGGGGCTCTCCTAGGAGGTTGAAAGATTGAACAAGAAAATAGGTGGTGGTGGCACACGCCTTTAATCCCAGCACTTAGGAGGCAGAGCTCAATCTCTGAGTTCAAGGCCAGCCTGGTTCACAGAGTGTCAGGACAACCAGGGCTACATTGAAAAAAAAAAAAAAAGAACACTAATATTCTGACTGCTATACTTTGGTAAGAGTATTCTCCCCATCTTGATTAGGCTGTGAATCCCCAGTGAAACTTGTAGGTGAATAGTGTTGGCTCTCCTGGATCATTTCAAGGGTTTGGGTGATAGAGGAGGTTGAATCTCACAGTCTAAAAAGAAAGTGGCTCATAAAATTAAATTTCGGGGTCCAGCTGCAAAGACTGGGTGTGCCACAGGTCCTCTCGCCTGCCTTTTGCACTCAAGGTCAAAATGATCCAGAAGGTATAAAGATTTAATCCCTATCTCTTGCTACGGGAACAGATTTTTAATTTTTTAAACTACATAGGACTTGGTTGTCTTCCTTCCATCATGTGGTCCCGGGTATTGAACTCAGGTTGTTATCTTGGCAGCAGGCATCTTTACCCGCTGAGTCACCCGTGCCCTATGGGACAATTTTTAAAGCCACGTTCTTCTGCCATCGGTGGCTGGCTCCAGTCACACTGCCAGTGTTGGAAAGTGAGAATGGACCGCATGCCTGGGCTTACCCACGCTTACCCTGTCATTACCCACAAACCCCAGAAGTTTCTTTCCCAGTGCGTTTGCTCAGGATAGAGGACCAGTGAGCTCTTTGCAGCTCCCTCCACGCCACAGGAGTCCTTGACATAACCCACCTTGAAGAATGGCTGGGCTCTTGGGCTGCAGTGAGTGGATTTTTTTTTTTTTTTTTTTTTTTTTTTACTCCAATGTAGTTGAGACGAAGGTCATGCTAAAATGGAATTTCCAGAAAATAGCTGCTTACCTCTTAAGTCTTTGGGGAGGGGAATTCCATTCTGTTTGAATAATAGGAGATTTAACGTGTCAGTGTAATTCCGCTTCTGCTTTATTAATGATTTAATATTACCCATGGAGACTTACAGGAAAGGCCTAGAATGCCCAGTCAGACCATTTTGTTTGTAGGTTCTTCTTTATTGTAGACTTATTTGTTCTAACAAAGTATTACACTGAAATCAACCCCAGGCCATTGTTTTCCCAGCCTGCTCTCCCTTAGCAGAGCAATGGGAAATGTATTTCCTCTTACCGATTGTGCTTTGTTTTTTTGTGAAAGAGGACTTACTGCACACCTTTTCCTGGCCTGGTACTACCTAGCTCAGGTAGGCCTCCAACTCACAGCAGTCCACCTGCCTCAGCCTCGCCAGTGTTGAGATTACAGGTATGAGCCACCATACCTAGGGCCACAAATATTTTCTTTAAATAAAATTTTTTTAATATGTTTCTGTGTAAGCATGTGTGAGTTGGTGTGTACCACGTGCATGCAAGAGCCCTCAGAGGCCAGCAGAGGGTGCTGGGACTCTCTGAGCTGGAGTTACAGGCAGTTACGAGCCGCTGTGTAAGTGCTGGGAACCAAACCCAGCTCCTCTTCCAGAGCAGTAAGCATTCTTAACAACTGGGCCACTGCTCCAAAGACCAAAGAGTTTCTTATAAAAATTGGTGTGTTTGTGTAAAACAGTGACTCAAACAATACGTGTATAAGCAGATTACTCTTTTTAAAATGCAAAACCCAAAAATACCTCAATACATTAGACGGACAAGTTCAGAGCTATCCTGGGGTGATTTAGAGCCTTTCCAGCAAAGCCCATTGATCATTCAGGAAGACGGTTACCTATGTCTGTTTACCTAGAATGTGTGTAAAATGCCAAAATGTATACAAAATGCAAATGTATACATTGCAGTAGAGGGGAATCCTGCCAGGCCAGCCGGCTTACTAATGGCTGCTCTCTGTGTCTGTGTGGACAGTGATGTCTAACCCCAGCAATCAATATTTACCCCGTACAGCATGAGACCTTTTCCCTTAGTGTGATTCACTGGGGACCTCAGGCAGGAACCTCAGATCTGCATCTTCAGGAAAGGGCGGGCCGTCTGCCACGTGGCCACTGATTTGTACTGCCCAAGGGCAGCCTGAGGAGGATTCTCTTCTAAGGAGCCCCCAGTGTCACTGGGAGACCACATTGTCCTTTGTGGTCATATTTCGTAAGTCCAGGTCTGTACCTTGAGACCTCTCTCCTTCTCCATCCTTTAGACCAACTAACTGCCTGTAGTATGTCCCCATTGCAGATAGTTCATCTTTCTCCTAAAGCTCAACGCAAGCCTTTCCTGAACAGTGAGATCCACCCGAGCGTTCTTGTCTTGCTTGCTGTTATCCAAGCTTGGGTGGCCGTTTGTTCTGTGTTGTCTGGGGCTTCGTTGTTTGCCACTGAGCGTGGCAGAAAAGCCCTCTTGGTGAGGTCTGCTGAGATGCTCCCCTTTCCCTCACGTCAGGTCTGTACCTTTGCCAAGTCCTGGTAACGCTGGTTCCCTTTAAGCTTTTACAGTCCCAGCTACCTTTTATCCTCTGTCACCAGAACATGGGGTGGGGGTGGGGGAGCAGGCATAAAAAGTTGTCTCCTACCCGCTGCCCTCGGCCACTCTTCTTCCCAATCATCCACTGTATCTTGGGGGTACTTTCTGAAGAGAAAAGCAAGTTGCTCGTTCTCTCGCACACACGTGTTCATGCACACCTGAACACACACTACAGCAAAGCCCCTCGGGTCAGTCCACTGTGATGTCCACATACCTTGGCATATCATTCAAGGCTTTCTAGTCTCTGATTCCATACTTAATTTTTTGTATGTGTGTGTATATATACGCACACATATGTATGTATACATATACATATGAGTCACATGCGTAGCCAGTTTAAAGAGTGAGGTCCAAAGCCCCACCCCCAACACAAGCGTTTCTGTTCATAGAGCAGGTGTATCCCATCCTGGTATGCATGCATTCCCCCAGCCAGAGACACTCGGAGGCACGTACGCTGGATCTTCATCTTGCCCACGGGCTTCATCTTGGAAGTGTAATCCTTTGCTCACTCAAACCTCACCCCAGAGGATGGTGTAGGACCAGAAGCTCTACTGTCCTGGCATTGTGGTTCCCCTGGGGCCAGTCCTGTGGCACTCTGCCACCATCGTGTTGGCCAGGATTTTCATCAGAGGTGCTGGCTTTTGCCCTTGAGCCATTGTGGATGCCGCCCTCTCTGCCCGATGGCTCTTCCCCTTTCCACTGTCTCTTAGCTACCACCTTCCTGGGACATCAAACATTTAGATGCATGCCTTCAGGAGACCTCTGTGGCCTTCTGGGAACCTGCTCATCCTCAGGCCACTCATCTCTGGGCTGCTGCATTGCCCCACTGTCTGCCCATTGGCACATGACCCTTAACCCCAATATATTCCAGTGACAGTTTAGCTTGTGTTTATCCCTGTGTCCCTATTTTACTCTAAAGGGCAG